ACAATCAAGCAGTGACCATCTACGAAAAAATGCTTGAATTTGCAGCTAAAACTTCTTAGTTAGCTAATGCCGCCTGTAAATCAGGGGAAATTAGCTGGCTGGCTCTCATTGGGTCCTATTTCAAATTTCTGACCTCACTGCCCTAGCACGCTGTGCTGTAGGGCCACAAAAGACTGCACAGAGACTGGTGAGGGTAAAACCCCCACCATCTCAGCTACCGTGCCGCCCAGATCCACCCACGCTCACTTACCAGTGTACCAGCTCAGATAGATGGGAGACAGCTGTGTACATTTTTATCCCCGCACGTATTTGTGAGAGACGAGAGCCACCCGGCAGTGAAAACAGTTGGTCTAATCTCTGGCTGCCATGTGTACCCGTTTTCCTCTTTTCTAACCTCTCCACTTCCTCGATCTTCATCCATTTCAAGCATCTGCAATCCCCCTCCTGCCCAACCCTCCTCACCCCACCCATCTCTCTAGGCCCACACTTGGGGGGCAACACCAGCATCGGAGCTAGTTTCACATGTGGTCTCGGTTAGACGGGAGTGCGCACAGACGTACATGCATGGCTGCCTGAAATTATCGGTGACGCATTTAAGGTTCGCCGTTCCGGGACACGCAAGAAAGCTGCAAGAAACCCACCAAGCTGGCATCCGCCTCGGACTTTATTGGTCAGCGAGGCTCTGGGTTACTAAACTTTGTGTCGCACAGACTGAGACTGTGCGGAAGGAATTTTTAACAATACACAATGGGTTTGGGGTTTTATTTTTGTTTGTTTGCTTTGTTTTGTTGTTGGGTTTTTTGTCTTTTTTTAACATTTCCAAAGTGGATAACTTGTATTTTAGAAATAAATCACTACAAAGCGCACACCGATGCTCTGAAAACATCAGGAGGAGGAATATGGTAACAGCAGCTCATCAAAAAACACTGACTAAAAGCTTCTGCAACCTGCATTTGTAATCGTAGACTTATCAGTGCTGCTCGTGTTGCTTATGCTGATTAGCTACAGGAAGGTGTGGTGGTAACCGCCTGGTTAAAGCATTCTAATCTATAAAAAGCTTTTACCATCTTCTTTCCGCTGCTAGTTTTAGGCGTCGCCACAGTGGCTCATCTCCATCCATCTCCCTCTATCCCTACCATCCTCTGTCACACCAACCCTCTGCATGTCCTCCTTCACTACATCCATGAACCTCCTCCTTGTCTCCCTCTTTTCCTCCAGCTTCAGCGTCCTTCCCATCCCTCCTGCGCTTCTCTAGCTTTATCTCGAACCCGCTCGATCTGAGCGCGCCCTCAAAGCTGTAACAAGACCAAAAAGGAATCGGGATAACAGAGTTTACTTTTAGTTCACGATCCAAGTGTTGATACCTGTGGTCAAAGTTATACCTCATACACAGATAAGGTATAATGAAAGCAAAAGCTTGTCATATGACTCACACCCAAATGCTGCTTTAGTTTTTGTATGTTTTTTTTATAACAAGCACTGGCACAGGGCGGGTTCACTGTGATCCATTCACTGCTGCTGCATGTATACGTTACTACAGGAACAGCATGGCACTAATTAAGGTTTTTGTTTACTACCTCTGTTTCTAAAGCATCCCCCATGTGCATGATGAATATCAACCCATGAACTTCCTGACCCCCAATATAACAATGTTAATGGGATACTATCGAGCAACATTAATCAATGAGGCCTGCTATAAAAGGTTCCTATGCATTTAAAGCCACACACGCTCCACACATCGGCACTTATTGATTGAACGGGTGCTGTTGCTGCTGGCCTCGCTTTACTGTCAGTCAAAGAGAGCTCAGCTCCAAGTTGGCCAGCGGACACAAAGCAGATTGCTCAAGGCCGACTCTGACTCACATCCATGACGTTTTACAAGCTGCAGCATCGCTACAAACCAGATCCGGTCAGGTTGCAGCTCACCGAGTTAAAGAAGTTACAAAGGGTTACTGTGCATCTAGTCGTTACGCAGGAGAAATACTCTGTGGCAGCTCAGCACGCTCCAACCGGGGCTGAGGTTCTAACAGAGAGCTGTAGTTAAGCTTCACTTCTGCAGGAAAAATGTGTTTTGTTTTGAGGGTTTTTAAGAAAAGAAAGAGACGGAAAAAAGTTCAATTGGCACACAGCCTGTACTGTGCAAACGTCGGCCAACCCTGGAGACAATAATTACCACCTAATTAGGGAGATGAGCAGTGTTTAAGCACGGCTTAACATTTAATCGGTCGGCTCAGCGAACCAGCGACGAGATCCAGATCTCTGAGGCCGGGGCAGCTGAACGACACTCCGAGATAAAAACAGCCTGACGGGGAGATTTGACTTCTAATTCCGACTCAGAGGGACGTCACAAAGGACGGTTCACTCAAAAACACAAGTTCTCCTCACACCTACAGCGTGACTTACAGAAAGTAGGAAACACCTGCTGAATTCTTGGAGTTCAAAAATAAATGGTTAATAAGAGAAAACACAGAATAAAAGACAACCAGAACTTATAATACGGGGACCAAAAAGATCAAAAGTGATTAAGTAAATTATTTAAATGACTCATTTATTGAGTCATTAAAAAAATGACTTGACATAAATACTCAACTAATAGTCAAAATGAATATTATTCATTAGTTAATACAGTGTGACACTTTTTTTCTCCTTATATTAATTTATCTTTGTAATAATCATCCAATTATTTTATTTGTTATTGATTTTCAGGGTTTATTTATGCTGCTATTTCTTTTTAATTCATTTATATCAAATGTTTATTAAATTTTTTTTAAATATGCACTTTTTGATCCGATACATTGGCAGTTTCTGTCCTCCACAGACATAAAGTGAAGTCTATCAAATGGCCAAAGGGCCCATCAAACACATTTAGTCTCATATGAAACATAAATAAGCAAACTGCTTCTCTGCGGATGCTGCAGGCAGGAACAGATCCTCCCTGCTCTGAATGTTTCCGACTGATCTTCTGCATTTCAGAATCAGGACTAAATCAGAGACTGTCAGTCAGTCTGCTTTAATATCTGTTTATGTTGGCACTTTTAAACGTGTGTGCGTGTGTGTGTGTGTTTGTAGATGGTGTGTCTCTCTTGTTCGGTGCTGATCGCTACGAATCTTGGACTTTATCATAGTGTTTACCGAGGCCGACTACAGCTCCCAAGGTGCCGCGTTCTGCCCGGCGCACGGCGACTGAGGGTCGCCGTGGTTAAACCATCGAGGTTAAACCTTTACACACTCGACTGCCTCCTAATAGTTGGGCAAATAGCTGCCCTGAAGCCTAATACTGTACGCGCTGCCTGAAAGGGTCTTACTGGAATCAGCTGAATAAATAAGTGGGATCCTGCCCAGCGTGGCAGCTGGCTTGTGTTTAATTACCACCAGCCATGTGCGCAATATTGAACTGTTCCTGGACGGCTTTAGGTAGTTTTCCCAGGCCTGGAGAGGGAGCAGAAACTGTACAACAGCAAGGACATCCGCGGTTTTATTCGTGCTTTCAGCACGCACGCTGCAAACTCCAGCCTTTGCAGCCGGCTGCTTTGCAGAGGGGATATGTGGAACTACACAGGTATCACACCGAGGGCGTGGTTCTGTGGAAACTAGTGAGGCAGATAGTGCAGCATCTTTTGGCTCAGCTTCAGCTTCAACTTTTCTCCAGGCTGGGAGAATAATCCCCGCCTGGGGGGGTCACTGTGGGTAGGCGAGGCTGTAGAGCATGGAGGCGCGAGCGAGATTTGAAACTGTGCATGGGGTGCCCATACCAAAGCAGGCCGAGAATCCTTACAGAGTTGCATGCAGCAACATCTCAGTAAACGCCTGGATCATGCATGCATATGTGCACGTGTGCACGTGCACGTGTGGCCTCATTTTTTTCTAGAAGAGTAGAAACTGTGTATAGGCTGCAGCACATACCACAAGAGCGTTGGAGTTTACTCTGCAGCCAGCCGCAGCCTTTACTTTACACAAGAAACCCAGCACTCTGGGAAAACAAAGGAAGGAGACAAGCAGCCACCGAGGGATCAGTCATTTCAAAGGCTGTTCGTGAGGATGCTCGAGCCAGAGGCTCGTCGGGACACTTTGGATTTCTTAGAGGACGGCCATGAAATGGGATTTTCTGTACATGTGACCACGCGAGCACCTGTAGATTGGATTAAATGTTAGATGCTAGACAGGAGGAGTGCACGTCCAGTCACTTTCCCCGTAATAAGCAGCGGCTTACACCTGCAGATATTTGACATTATAAAACTCCTCTGGCTCCAAATAAAAAGTGGACTATCACAAAGTTTGTCCTCATTTATTTCTGTGCTCTCCCCCAGCCCCTACATTAATCAGCTGATTTGTGTTACCCAGCAGCAGGTCCTGTGCAAGGAGAAGCACCTTGAACTCTTATCATCCACGATTGCGTCATGTGTCCCTGGTTGCCTATCTGCTCTCTCAGAGCCAGGAAGGCTGAACAGGTGATCTGGAGTTGCTGTGCTCACTGCTGTAGCTGTAACAGCTGTGTTTACACAGCAGCTGATAGACAAGACTTGAGAAAAACCCACAGGGATTACTGTTTTTTTTTTCACCCCCTGGGGTACTTGAGGCCATTTGGGACAAACCTACTGCAGCTGGATGGGACACATCAGGGCTGCTCACTCGTTACCCATCAAATCAGAAGATGGATTTCAAAGTTTAATGACTTAGCAGTCGGATACTAATGCACTTCTCTCTCCGACAGGTTTTTGGGGACGTGTTCCTCCTGCTCTGAGATCAATGCCTGATGTAATACAGAGCAGTGTCAGCAGAAAAGCAGAGCAGAGTAAACAAGAGGGCAGGGTGTGTTTGAGCAGTAAACTCGGGACAGGGAGGCCAAACTCGTACTCAGCTGAGGCCTACTCATTGACACCCTCCCCCTCCCGAAAGAAGTGTGCTGGACAACAAGGAACAAACTCTTAGCCTGACACCAGCGTGGTAAGAAGTGCTGGAGGATACAAACCCCACCGCGCGGCTCAGAGGCGCACGTTTACGCAAACCACGGTCAGAGGCTTTAAAAGGTGCACACATGAACCTCAACCGGCCTGAAACGAGCAATGAAAGGACAACTGTGTCGTCTTGACACTGCAGTCTGTGTGGGCTTGGGAAGAATCCTTAAACTGTGTAATAAAACACGTCCCGGTCCACAGTGCGCTCCTTTCGCGCTGCTCTGCACGCATTGCCACGTTTCTCCTCTCGTGCAAAGCCCCAAACACACCAGTGTGTGTGTGTGTGTGTGTGTGT